GGTATCCCTAAGTCCAGAGCTTCCATGATTCACCCTCTTCAGACAGGCAATCTCTAGTTTCTTTCACGGTAGGAATGAGGCAGGGGTGGATTTGGGGTCTAACTACTCCTTATATAAACTTAAAAAAAAATTCTACAGTTTTCCATTCTATCCTCCACCCTAGTCTTGAGTCTTTCCAAGGTTCTGATGTATTCATCAGCTTGCTTTAAATTAACTTCTCTGGATCCAAGTACTTAGCTTTCTCTGTTTTCCATCTTCTAAAACTTTGCTGACATCTCTTGTCTGCTGTTGATTTCCTTCTCATTCTTTTTGTCCTTGTCCTTTATACCTTCTTAGTCCTCTACAGTCATTTTAATGGCTTTCAAGAGAGTGGAGGATAAATTCAAGTGTTCATCCTACCAAGCTAAACGGGAACTCCCTCTCATTTGTTAGATGTAGGCATCTTCAAAGGATCAAAGGATCAGATGTATGTCTTCTTTTCTCTTCATCCTCAAAATCTTTCTCAACTTACCTTTTGAGGTCCAGATCTATATTTGTAAATGCCTCTTGGGAATATATGTCAAAAGTAACTCATTATCTTTTCGGAAAATCTATTTGTTCTTGAAACAGTGCCATAATCCTTACAGTTACCCATACTGGAAACTTTAATATTAACTCTGACTCTTCTTACTGCATCTTCCTATATCTGATAAGACACTAGGGCTTGTCAATCTCACCCTTAGAGCTCTCTTACCTCATTCTTAATATTCCATGGCCTGCCTCATAGCTACTCCCCTGAATGCTAATTCATCCTATTATACCCATCTTGCTGCCTTCAAGTCTGGTTTAAATGTTGCCACTTCCATGAAGTCTTCCTTTATGCTTTCCAGGTTAAGTACACTCTTCCTCCTCTAAAAGACTTCTGCACTTTATTAACATTTCTCCTATGCACTTAACATATTTAACATTTCTCACAAATCTGCATGTGTTTTATTTCCTCTTTTAGAGTGTAAGAGTTTTAAGGGAACAGGCTTTGAAGGAATCTATCTCTGACCTTCCTCATCACATAGTTTTTGTTGTGGCATCAGTTTATATGCTGAATGAATAAATGAATTTGGGACTATTGAGGGAAACAAAAGAAACAGAGGACATAGCACCCTGTCTTCTGGAGAAAAATGTTTATCTATAGCTATAGTTACAGCATATCTATAGTAGAGCATCCGTGACAATATGTAAAAGGTAAAATGGTCCTCGACTTAGGTCAGGAACACAGGCTTTTTCATTTAACTTTCCCACTGCCGGGCCCATCAGCTGCCATCTCTGGCAGCTAAAACACATGGATTGTTGCCCTTTAATGAATTCGTGATAAATTTCAACCACTTGATAGACTATACAATCTTAAATTAACAGTTACTCAGTTTCTGACAAAAGCCTATTTAAATTAACTGATATTTGAGAAACATCTATGGAGTCATGCTAATCTTCATTCCTCTACAGCCTTTTAAGCTCTATCTTAATAATAAGGAAAATATAAGCCTACAACTACATTAGTCTTCAGAGAAATTTCTCGATTCAATTGCACTTTAATATTATGACATCAGTTTTTATAAAGAGAAGTCACATTAAGAGTGTTCTTGTATCTTCAACAACATCACCGTTTGAAGATATTATCTATTGGGTTGAACCATATGAAATTGCCAGTATTCAACTGTTTTTGACTTTTAAAAAGGGCAATTTTATATGGTTCACCTAATAGTTCAATTTTTTAAAAAATAATGAACTATCAAATTAAGTCATCTTATAATTTAGCAGTAAGAAAAAACTTGTCTCATCTGTCAAAGTAATATGTTCTTCCAACTCACAAAGATGAGAATGACACTGAGCAGGATGCTTCCATTTTGCTTTAGCTGCCAGCAAGCTCAGTGCTGAACGTAGTGCTCAACTGTGATAATTTTCTTAGCCTAGGTTTTGCTATAATTGTCTGTATGATTCTTCTTGTTTGACCTTTTCCACTTGTATTGATCTAAACCTATACGTATTTTTCTGGGAATGAGTAATGTAGCAACTACATATATAAAAATATAACCGGTTACCCAGAGTACCGTGTTAAGAAGGAGTCTTCCTGAACTTGGAAAGACAAGTACCAAGGTCAACTGGTGATTTTCCACATACATACTGGAAGGGGAAAGGCAGCATGGCCCACATTTGCAGTCCTATCCCAAATGCTAAAGTGCTCAAGGTCTGTACTGATGAGGCATTTGAGAATTAACTGTGAAAGTCAATTTGCTAGAGGTGAGATTTGAACAGAATTTAGAAACAAGAGAGGGGCATTAATTGATATAAAGGCATTCCTGACAGAGCCAATAAAATATGAAATAGACAATGAAATGCAAAGGAACAAATTTAGAGAGATATATATGAATATTTGAATACAGATTAGCTTGGTTTAAGGATTGAATCTATAAGTAAAAGAAATGAGAAATGAAGCTAGAGATGAATGAACCACTGTAGCTTTTGCACATGAAGAGAGTGACATGAAGAAAACAGTATACGAATGTTGGAAATCAAGTAATTTCTTTTTAAGACTAGAAGAGGGCTCAAAATTAGCATTTTACTGCTCCTATAGTAATATTTGATCCAGGAAAAATCCTAACAACACTGGGTGAAAGACTGTTGGAAAAAGGATATTCACACAGTCTCAAAGTTATCACTCCACAGATCACTTGTTAATTACGAAAAGAAAAAAAGTTCTTTACGCAACTTTATAATCAAATCTAACCTTATGATCAAACTTAAAATCACCAATAATGGCTAAAATGTTATCATGTACCTCTTTGTAGAATGCAATGAGGACACATCATCTATATAATAGTCATGCTAAAAATGTTTAACCTAAATCCCATCATGAGGAAACAATTACAAATATCTAAATTGAGGGACATTCTTCAAAGCAATTAGCCTGAATATGTATGTCAATGTCATAAAAGACTAAAGAAAAACAGGGAAACTTTGTCCTAGGCTGACAACCAAATGCAACAAATGATCCTTTATTGGATCCTAGATTGGAGTTAAAAAAAATAGTTACAAAATACACTAGAATTTGAAAATGAACTACACATTAAACCACAGTATTGTACGAATGTTAAGTTTCCCAAGCATGATAATTGAATTGTGATTATGTAGGATTATACCCTTTGCCTGAAAACTCTAGCATAAGTACCAGAATGTTGGTGAGTACCTTTCAAATTATAGAATGAGTAAATACACACATAAATAAATAAATAAACTATGTGTGTGTGAGTGAACACATACGTACATATACATGGGGTGGGGGAATGTGGCAAAAATTAACAATATAGGTAAACCTAGGTGAAGGATACACAAATATTCATTGTACTCTTCCTAAAATTTTTCTGGATTTAAAAAAAGTAAGAGAGCTTACATAATTTGGGTCAAATTCCAGTTTACAGATATGAAAACTGAAAGCAAAGAAATTTTATTTTGTCATGTTTGTTCACTTAGGTTGTAGCAGGTGCATAATTAAAGGTCCTATGGTTTTATCTTCCAGTCCAGGGGTCTTTCAACTCTCTCACCCAATCTCAAGCATAATGACACAGGATAAATCAAAACAAGCAGTGACTGGAGGTAGAGAACTGACTACTGAGCAGATGTTCTGAACCATCTCAGCAGTAATAAGAGTCGAGGTTAGGGTCAATTGTAGATACACATGGGGAGACAGCAAAACAAAGAAACAACCTAACAAGAATCATAAAGACTTACTGATATATTAGAAGGAGAACAAAGAAGTAACTCTACAATACACAAGTTCAAAAGATGGGAAAATAGGAGTACTAGGGGTAATAAAAGAAAAAGTGGATAAAGATTGCCATTTAGGATAAGAAACTTAGTTTGAGACATGTACATTTCAATTGTAATATACCAGAATGTAAGCTAGAAGTATGCGAGAATGTAAACTCCAGAAGGTAGGAATTTCCTTTTTTTTGAGGAAGATTAGCCCTGAGCTAACATCTGCTGCCACCCTCCTCTTTTTGCTGAGGAAGACTGACGCTGAGCTAACATCCATGTCCATCTTCCTCTACTTTCTATGTGGGACGCCTGCCACAGCATGGCTTGAGAAGTGGTGCGTTAGGTCCACACCTGGGACCTGAACTGGCGAACCCCAGGCCACTGAAGCAGAACGTGCGAACTTAACCGCTGCACCACTGGGCCAGCCCCAGGAATTTCTTTTCTTTTTGTTTACTGATATATCCCCAAGTAACCTGAACAATGTCTGTAAATAAACATTTTTTTGAACAAATGAAGTGACCCTTTATGAGGCATTCAGGTACAGAGAGACAGAAAATAGAAAGATAAAATTTAAGACAAGGTATCAAGAGATATTTACTTTGTGGGTCTTTAGGGAAGTGGACATATTTATAGAGAGCTCTGCCTGGGGTTTTGAGTATAAGCCCAAATAATAGAGTTGTCTTTTTTTCTTTTCCATTGTTCCCTTTATGTGTATCTTCACAGGAACCTCACTGGGAGGATGGGTGACTATGGTCATATACCCTCTAGTACCATCAAAACTCCATGATTATTTATTAACACTTCATTAGCTACAGCAGGCAGTTCAAGTGTGGTCCCAGGACCAGCATCGTCAGCATCACCTGGGAGTTTGTCAGAAATAAAAATTCTTAGGTTCCACCCTAGATCTACTTACTGAATCAGAAACTGTGGGTATGGCCCAGTTATCTGTGTTTTAAGAAGCTTTCCAGGTGATTTCACTGCACACTAAAGAACTAGGGACAAAATAAAGCTACTACACTCTTATTTGACAAAATTTCTACCTCATAGTCTAAGTCACTCTTCTTGAGATGCAGCTAAAAATTAAGACCCAATTACATAAAAAGATATTTGTAATAAAACTTAGTATAACATATCACATAGACATAATTCATCATATAGTGACCATATAGCAAAACCAGCCTACGATAAAACATTTCTAAAAGGCATCTACTTACTTTAATGTCTCAGCAAGAAAGAAGCTCTGCTGTACATCATCATGTGTAGGAGTAGAGGAATATACATCCTTCACCCCAGAAAACCCACCACTGACTCGGCAATACTTTTCAATAGCCTGTGAAGGAGATCAGATAAAAGAATCAATTCCACAGAATTTCAAGTTTTGAAGGACAAGTTAAGGAACCAAAGTCAAAAGTTCACAGAGATCCATATGAGAATTTGACAGTTTAAGAATAAGATTTATCATCAAATCGAAACATTCTTACACTGGAAAAATTAACTGAAGTATCCCGCTTCCTGCGGAATTTCTCCCTCTCCAAACCTCTTTAATCTTTTTAAGACATTCTATATTTTCCTAACTTAGGAGTCAAATTTAGGCTGTTCACACTGAACTAGAGACCTGTCTGGCACAGTGAAGCCTCCTTAATTCCGACAAATCAAGAGAGAGGTCAGTTTGAATTAAAATTTTTAAATGCAATTTTATTACTTCCAAGGAAAAACAATAATCCAAAACACGCTAAAAAGTATTATGTAGGAGCTCTCCATAGTAATAGCAATGAGACAATATTTACTGCAAACAGACTATATGCCAGACTTTGTATTATCATAACCCTAGGAGTTAGGCATTATAGGTACAATACTAAGAGCTAACAATTATAAAGTGTTTACTATGGGCTAAAGGCTCTTCTAAGAACTTTATATGCATTAACATTTAAATTTCCAACAACCTTATGAGGTTGTCTTAATAGCTCTACTTTTCATACAGGAAAACTGAGGCAAAGAGTAATTTGCTCCACACTATTATTAACTACTGTGCTCTACTGCCTGATTGGGAGCTAACATTAATTTATATTTTCTTAATTTTTGAATATGTCAAAATAAAGTACACTGAATTAAATGGAATCTATTCAAAACCCTGTTTTTAATTCAAAGCAACCCAATAACCTGCTTATGCAGGTTTATCCAGCTCCAGAATTAAGCCATTTACAAAGAGCTGAAAGCACCGTGGTTCTTCTCTTTCTCTGCTCTGCCTGACCCCGGACACTGAGCGCCGGGACAGTGACTTAACCAACCGTCACCGCAGCGGCGTGTCGCTCCTAGTCTTGGTATTTTTCATATTCTTCTGGTCTTCTTCCTTACTAATGAAAAGCTAATTAACACTGAAAATGTTTATTTAATCAAACTGTTCATTTTCATATTGTTCCATTTTGATTATAGCTGGGTTTTAATGTCTCCTTACCAAAGGGTTTGGTCCTTTTCTCTACCTAAATAGTTTAAACGTATTTTGAGTACAAGAGTTTTGGAACACTGTATTGTTCACAATGATCATGCGTCTTGACCACCATAGAACCATCAAGCCATGACTAATCTTTAAGCCACTTAGAGTCGTTATTTGAAGGCAAGTTTTCATGCATGATATACTCAAGTTTGGGAGTTTATAGATGTAAATGGAATAGCTGAAGCTACAGAAGACAGGAGATACCTCTATTTTGTCTTAGCTTGTCTTCCATTTACTTTCTTCACACCCTACAAGTTAGGCCAGCAGTGGGCAAAAATGCAAATTCTATTTAAGATGTGAATTCTCCTCTTTTGTCTCCATCCCCATTTTTCTCAGCACGGCATACTTTTGAAACTTCAATGTAAAGCATAACTATTTCAGTTCTTGTTCTTTATAATTAGCATGTGTCCCTTTAGGCTATAGAAGGAAGATTCTAACTCCTATACTTCAAATTTGGACAGATATGGGTTAAAGTTTGAGCTGTCAAACATCTTTTTAATAGATAAGAGTAGGGCGATACTTTAAGAAGGTACACATGAGAAAAGGATCTTAGGAAAAGGATAAATTATTCTACAGTGTTTCTCAATGAGAGAACATGCTTCTGCCACCTCCCCTCAACCTCCTTGCCTCACATGATTCACATATATCTCCCTTATTCCTCTAAATAAGAACCATTAAATATTAGGGGACATTCAAGTCATTCATTGCAGGAATTCTTTACTTATCTATTTCCCCTACATAAAATATTGCTTGATTTACATAAGCATTAGTAAGCCACTGCTACCAACAGAAGGGTGTGTGTCCTTTTCCCGAACCATTGTGGCAACAGTTTGGCTATCTTCTCAACTGCGCAGGACCCTCCTGCATGGAGAGTTTTACTAGCGGCTGTGTTCCCAAATCTGGACTCAAGTGACCAGGCAAAAGCAGCATCAATAAATGCAGCACCTCTTCCTGTTCCACGTAACCACCTTGCTTCCATTTATCTTCTCTTACTGCTGAACTCCATAAGCACTATCTAGGTCTGAATGACAAATGACACATAAGTGTCCTCAGCTTAGCTCGTCTTTATCATATTATCCTGGATTATTGCAGTGGTCTCCACAACCCACCAACTTACAGATTACAATGAGATCCTTCTGTTTGTTACTCCCCACTAAAAAGCCTTCAGTAGATTCTTCCCCTTTGAAAAACCTTTTACTAAAGGTCCTGTACTGGATTCTAAAAGTTAGGGAGCTTTGGTGGGTAGGAGATGGTGACGAAAAAGACAATCTGACAGGCTTTTTAGATAGGCAAATGACTTTCTACCCCCTCCCTGATACGAGAAACACTTATGCAGTAACTGACAGAAGTGTGTGTCTGTGTGTTGTTCCTGAAGCATTGAGTATACACCCTTTGATCTGGCATGTAAAGTCATCTACATAATGGCTCCAAACTTCTCTTCCTCTGGTTGCCACTGTGAAACCTTCTTTTTATATAATTTGGACTACATTCTGCCCTAAAACATATCTTGCACATTCCCGTCTGAGCAATTTACTAACACTACTTATCTCACCTAGAATGTCCTCATTCTATCTGGACTGCAAGCTTAAGTTAAACAATTTGAATATGAATATCCATCATAATTAGTACTATTTATCATAATTAGTATATCTCAAAGACTAAAACACCCTCTTATTCCTGGGAATAAGCTATAATTTCATGAAAAGACTAATGATTTTCTTCCTTCCCAGGTACTGACAGCCAAGGCTAGTACTCTAAGAGTAAACCACTTGCTTCCTTTACTTATCAACCATTAAAAATACCTCATTTCAAACATATATTATATACAGTATGTGTGTGTGTGTGTGTATGTGTGTATATACAGATACACTGTTTCAATCTAGAAAGATTTTAGCAATTCACTCATCCTTCTTATGGTGATCCCCTGGGGTAAGCCACCAAGGCTGTGATTCTGGGAAGTTTTACAATGATTTTTTTTTTTCCAGAGGTTAAGCATTAATAGGCAAGTATAGAAATTTTATAATCATAGTGAAAAACTGCCTTTTAAATGACTCTTTATAGTTATTCAATGAGAATAATGAGTGAACACTAGTGGAAAAATAGTTCTAATAGAGAACTAAACTGGATTCTAAGATTTACTTCTACTCCTTCAGAATCTTAAATTAACTGAGTAACAGAGTTTTCCACCAGATAAGTGGAAGTACCCTACAGTAACTGAATGTGAGGGAACACGGATAAGGACGCACAGCACTACAGGAAGGCTCGAGTTGCTCTCACAGCAAGTGAAATATTGGCTTATTTACCAATGCGGCTTCCCAGCCCCACCGCCTGTATCTTGGATCGTGCGTGAATCGCCATAAGTACCAATAAGTTTCAATTACTTCTGGACGGAGGATGTAATACTTTTCCGCTTGCCGGACTGCCACAGCCTCTACTGCACCATCAAACTTGAATGATTCAGGACCTAGCTTTAATGCTGTAACACGACAAAAGAAACAAATGAGCACAATAAACCATTTGGGTCTGTCTGCCGGAGCTTTTCTCTTCCCAGAAAGGACTGAGGAAGAAGTAAAGTTACTTTTGTTGTTTGTTGTATTTTTATTGTTGCTGTTTTGGAAAATCAGTGACTTTCAGAGATCCACCTTTGGTTTTCTAGCAGCTTAACAGACATAAATATTCCTATTATTCTGATATGAAATATTTCTCATAAATAATGTACTTCAAGATACTGCTAAATCTAACCATACCAACAAAAATCTAGCAATCCTTTGGAAACAAATGCAAGTTAGACATAAGCACATTACATATTCCATTTTGGTCCAAAATAAAATGAGACAGATAATGGCACTGTGCAGAATTATTTTTTAAAAATCCAAGACTATTTTAAAGTTTCTTTAATATAATACACACATATAAGAAAACATTTTAGAGCTAAGATCTCGAATTAGATTTAGCTGTAGATTACATAAAGTATGCTATAGTATTCAAGAAATAATATATTTTAAAACTTAAACCAGTTTTAAAAACAAACTCTCTTCTCCTACAGTCTCTGCATATATAGCAAGGAAGAGGTTCAAATTGCCAGTCACCAAGAATTTCATCAGCAATTTTCCCATTTATCAGTTTGAAGAAAACATGGCCATTACACATATATTTCAACATTACATATTACTCCTTGCATGATATGATTTCCATTCAGGCTGGAATATAGCACTACATGAAAGACTTTTTAAGGACCTCTTTCTAAACACAGCCAGTACCCTAAACCTGAGAAATATAAAGTCATCTTCCACTGGGATGTTAAAGTCACACACAATTACCACTCTCCGCTGCCATCTTTCTTTTTTTTACTAAGTTGTACTCTGGCAAACAGTTTCAAGGTCTCTCACTTCTTTCAAGAAATGCTGGACACCTTTATATTTTCTCATAAAAGAAAAGGTAGCCCAGAACTATAATGCTGGTGGACCAGAAATAAAATCATGCCATAGTTGCTGGCATGACATGTGTTTCTGTGGCTAAATTTCAGTATTATAAGGGTGACAATGTAAGCTCCAAATAATCACAATTCAAAGGAAATGCAAACAAAGCCTTTTTTTTTACCACCACTCACCCCCAAGAAAAAACACAAAACCAAAAATAAATAGTGATGGTAGATAATTCTATTAAAAAAGTGAAACATGTGACCCAGAAGAGTTAATAACCACAGCTTGTTTGCTGCTAAGTCTTGTTGAACTAAAGCAGAACTCAAGTAGGTGTTTTAACCTGAGGCTCACGAACTCTCGGGTAGGCTTTGGAAGAGGGAGACAGTGTGGGTCCCAGAAGCCTCTGAAACTGTATGCAAAACTTTATGCGTGCATATAAAGCTTTGACCAGCTCCTCAATGGGATCTGAGGTTAGGAATAGCCAACAAATTATCACTATTTTGTAAGAAAACTTTTATCCAGCTTACCAACAAGGTCTGGCATACAATCAAATATTATCTGGTATTTAATAAACACTTTCAAAATGATGATAAAAGTCAAGCATCATAAACACTGAGATGACAGTAATCCAACAAAAAAGTAAGGTAAGTCATTTTGTCGAGATTTCTTATATTTTTCCTTTCTCAAAGACTATGAGTGCTAAGAAGTGATCACAAGGAATGATCAAATGTTAATCTTAAGGCTAACTTTAAATTAGATAATAACTTCTGTAATTATAATGATAACATCGCCTGAACTGAAATAGAAATTGGCTGCAGGAAACTAATATTTTAAACTTCTTACTAAAAACTCTATTTCGCTTACTGATCATTCATAACTTCACAAAATAAACATACTAGTAAGATAACATATTTGTCCTGTGAGGAGCTGGTGAGTAAAAATGTACATGTCTAAATTATATACATATCACATCCATTATTTTGGCCAAATTATTGGTTTCATGTTTCTGAGGGCATTATTTCTTGGTTGCTCTTTTGTTTAACATACATTGTAAAAAATAGTTTCAGTACACTCTACCTTGCACTTAATTTCTATTCCCTATCTTAAAGTTCCCATTTACATTTGGTATTTCATTTCTAAAAGGAAAATAACCAACCCAAAAAGTAAAAACTGAATCAAAACCATAAGTAATTTAGTACCTAGGTAAAAAAAACTCTAGTGGATACAAAAATCATATAATGTAGGTAAGAAAAGAAACATGCCTAAATAAAAAATTATAGTAAAATAGCAAACGTGATAAAGGTCAGCAGTAAAACAATAAAAGGCAAGTTTAAAGAAGGGACAGATTAGTTTGTAAAGTTATGGGGAAATGCAATTAGTCCTCTAAGACAAGTAGAACCTGTAAAGATGAAAAAATAAGTACACCCAAGTCAATAAAAGAAATTCAACAGAAGATAAAAAGCATAAGGAATATTCTGGGACAGCAATCTGACTATAGTTTGAATGGGATAATAGTAAGGGGAGATCTTAAACTATTTTCCTGTATCCTTCCCTCCTATTAACTTCCTTTAAAAAAAAATAGTTGTAGAAATGCTTAAAACATATCCAATACTCCATGGTCAGTGGATTTTTTTTTTGTCAGACAGATATGTTACATGTATCTAAAAAGATTAACTTTTACCCTGCAACATGACAGAGCACAGTCTAGGGAAGGCTTTACCTAATTTCAACACGAAGCAAGTTAGATTACAGAGCAGTCTTTATTTTAGTGATGTTCAGCAAATTTTTTTTTTTTAATCCAGAAACCCAGAAAAAGAAAGTACTGTATTTTGGAAATTTAAGATCTGGTTTGGCACCAATTCTGTACCATACTTCAGAATAAACTAAAATAATGTATCACTCTAGCTTCCCTTATAGAGATAATAACGTTTGAAACTACCACTAAGTTACTGCTCAGTTTCATGAACAGATTCAGCACTGCTTCCTACAAACCCAGCTAAACATTAAGCAGCAGACCATGCTCTTCAGTAAGACAGAATATATGAATATCACCTCTACCTCCAACAACAAATGAAAGTGAAATTCCAAGGCAGCAATTATATGAATTTAGCTGGAATAACTGCTAAGAAGTAGATGGATATTTTTAAATGAAGTAGCCAAAAATTATAGTACGGCTATAAGAAAACACAGCAAAGGACGTGATAACCTGGAGGGAAGTCAGCAAAACTAGGATTGTACTTTTTAATAAAAGGATCTAAGCTGAGATTAAATATAAGTAAAAACAGCGAAAGACTTGGAAATATAGGACACAAATCAAATAGTAATCTTTTCGGGAATACCAGGGCAAAGAGCGTCACAGGTTCATCGACTTGCAATGTGAGAATGACAATTAGAACAAGCATGACAGCAACAACCATAGACTGCATTTTTTAAAATTTCATTTTACTCACAACCACATGCTGAGGAAGACAAGGTAGGTATTGTTTATGTCAACTTTTTGCAGATGGAGCAACTGAGGCTTAGGAAGGTTAAATGATTTGCCTAAGGCTCACAGATAACAAACAGTAAAACATGGGATATTTGAATTCTAGTTCAAATGTTCTTTTCATGATATCACAGTTTCATATAAGCATCAGCAATGTCATTATGAAATGTGGAAGTCAGAAATATAATATAGGAAATCCTTTCGTAACCCTGGTATTCTATGAACGTCTCAAAGTCAGGGGATGCAGCTTGTTCACACTTTAACTTGTAAGCATCTGGCATAATGCTTGGCACATAATACGTACTCTATGTTTAATACAGTGAATGATTAATATAACAACTATGGTATAACAATTTTTAATATGTCTGTTGTATGAAATTCTACTATTTTAGATCTAGGATTTGATTTGTGGTCAAAACCTACATAACAACAAGTCTCATCATGGGTCCTAACAGACACTGAAAATCCATTCTGGTCCTCAAATGTTTTACTCATTTTAGCTCTATTTTAATATCCTCAACATGATATAATTGAGCTTCTATCTGTAACTCAGATCACTGACTTTATAGTTATTTATACGTAAATATATATATACACACACCCACACACAGCCAACACTTAAAACACCCGAAAATAACATCTACTTCAACGTCCTGTGGACCTAGTTATATTTTGTCAAGAAATGGGATCCTTGGTTTAGTTACTGAGGGAACTGAAGGATCAGTTTCACCATAAGTTTAATTCCTTATTACATTAAAATAACTTGACAGATTTATGAACTAGAATAAATTTTAAGCCCATCGTATTTGTGTCATGGTACTTAATGATAAATTAACCCCCAAACAGAAATTCAGTTATTTAATAAAAGCAACAATTCAATTTCTGAAATCACAAATAGAAATTACTAGTTTTCAGTCTTTCATTAACTCATTATCCATTATTTCATATAGAAACATACATTTTTAAAGCCAGAGAAAACCTTTGAAGGTCTAGTCCAGTGTTTCTCAACCCTGTTTACAGGCTTTTTTTTTTAAACCTAAGTGCCTTCTCTCTTCATGAAATTTTAATAATAAATATATATTGTTAATCTACCTACGACTGTATGTATATCTAGGCTTTATACATAAAAAAGATTTTTTTTTCACCCCCAAGAACCAATATTTGTCACCATTGAGAATCATCTTATTTCCCAAGTAAGGACACTGAAGCCCAGACAAGTTATACACTTCCCTAAAGCAATGTCAGAGGATCTCTTCAGCTAAATGCACGAACAACTCAAAAATTACTGGTGAATCGACTAAGAGGCAAACTACTAGTTCCCTACACCAATTACACATTCAATGCAACCACTGCTATCTTTTGGTTGTTCTTATTTTCATAAGAGGATAGGCAAGGTATGTAACTTGAATCAGTCAATTGTGTGTTCAAGTAACTGGTTTTATAGAAGCTGAAATGAACAGCTAAAATGGATTCTTATTATATTAAAATAATATTATCCCATACATCTCCAAATGCCCTTTTCTTTAAAACAATTTCTTCAACATCTTTATTAAAACAAACAGTAGCAGCATTCAGAATAATAATTTTAAAAATGATGCAGGAACACACTTCCAGAATTAAAATTCAAAATCTTGAGAAAATGATTTACTGTTACACTATTTTGAAGTGAAAAATGTCTATATATTTTCCTTCTAATTCCTGGACATGTTTTTAACTTAGAGGTTATTTTGGACTATGTAATTAGCATGATTAATCTTCTTACCAGTTCTGTCATAGGACTCATGACATGTATGTGCAATTTCCGCCCCTAGCTCTAAATAGTGACCAGCTTTATCCATTCTGGAACCATCTGCTCCTAGTGCAAACATTCCCCCAGCAAAGCAGGCCAAATGCCCCATCTTCTTTTCCAAGTGTCCATTTTTCCATTCTCCAATAAAGGTAAGACCTCCACGGGACTTCTTAATAAGATGTTTTTCTATAGCCTACAAGAAAGAGAGATTCAAAATTTTAGAAGTAAAGTGTTAGTGTTCAAATTTCCTACATCCCTCTGGCTATCAAAAAACCTTAGTAATATGATACTCTATAAAGGAGTAACCCTCCCAAACTGAGAGACTTAATTAAGTCCAATAAGGAATTTTTGGAGTGAGTAATCAAGTCACATATAACCTTGAACAAATACCCCAATCACCACTGTAACAGACGAGGTGGGAGAGGGGACACTGGCCTCAAGATTGTCTATCGACATCACACTAGCCACATTACAGGTTTTTTCTTCTTATGCTAAATGAAATTCATAATAATCCGTCAACTGAGATCATAACAACAAGTTATAACCCAAAAGGCTCTGTTGACTTATTTTCAATTTCATACAACAAAAACTGATTAGGAAGAATACCTAAGTTAATCAGGAAAATGATTTTGAGAACTAGTTAAAATGGTTTCTCCTTTTCCATGTACCTACACCTCTTGCCAAAGTACTTTAAAAAGGCACCATTAGGGGAGACATCTTATATGTGATAAAGCTTACCAAACTAGGTGAAAGTTCAAACTTAACTCCATAGTCCCTTACTTTGCAAACTTAGGCATTTGTTTTTGATGTTGTGCCATGGTTAAGAGAGGCCACCTGATAAACACAGTCCATCCTCCTCGAGTGTCGATTTTACCCATAAGATGTGAGGATGGTTAAGAGAAATATTTTATATTAAACTTGAATATAACATGAAGTAGAGTTCAATAATCACACTCAATTGTAAGAATGAGATTTTTAAGAGTTTTGTTCCTTTGGACTATGTTCTCAGACTTTGCTGAGAGGGGCTATAGGTGAATTCTCCTTAGGTACTTCTATGGAAAAGTATAAGAAATTGCATTAATTCAATTCTCTCTGGTAGAATTATTATATATGATTAGAGACTATGCTTTTCTGACAAAAAAAGGAATAAGAATTAAGCCACATTTTTATCGTGGGTCGTTCTCTGACAAGCTCAATACGAGTTTTAGAAAAATTTATTCTATATTCTTTATAATAATAATGTTTGTTTTATAGAACTATAAGGACTATGTCTTCATCATCTTATACTCCACAAAACCTGTAAGTGTAGTATGTACTCAATAAATGTTTAATTAATAAGTCATTTTATAAATAAATGGTACTCTGAGATAATTGTATTTGGCCTGTTAGGTGAATGAGGTATGGTTGATAAGCAAAATGATAAGGGACCACCAGTGGATTATAAGTTTTTATTGTTGTTGTTTTCTTTTAACCATATTACTCTGAAGCACAAATGAAAAGATTAGTTTTCTGAGTACAGAGACAATGTTTTTTCATCTTTGCAGACCTCATGGTATCTAGCATGTTTTCCACATTTAAGGCACTCAATAAATGCTTAAAGAATGATATCCTTAGTTTAGATTCTAAACCTTGTATAACAGCTTTGTCATTTTGTTATTTCTATTCATTGTAACAAAAATCTTACTATGTTATAATTAAAAGATATCCAAACATATCCCCACAAACCTACTAGGATTAAAATAAAAGGTGGGTAAAGACAGGACTTTTACCAGTAATTCATTTATAGACTCCTGAAATTTCTTGTTCAGCTCTCTTCTCTTTCTAAAACTGTGACAAATGTCTAAGAGTTCAACTTACATAAAATGCCAAACTGTTGAATGGCAGTTAAGAGTAATATTATTGCTCTTCTATTAAAAGTATTAAACAAATCTTCACAAAGACTGGCATTACTTTCTTGCTCTAAAAGGACCTTTAATAGGTATATTTTTTCTTCACTATTTTAAAAATTAAAGACTAAGTATAAACTTGATCTGAGTATGAAACTTATAACTGTGCATAATTTTTTAAAAGAAAGCTAAGATGTAGGAACCAGGGATATGGGCACCTGTAAGCGTAGAGGAGGGCAAGATGAGGATGGAATAATTTAAATAGATGAGCTCATAAAGGTAAATTTAAAAAATGATTTATCTCAAATTAGAATAGATCTTAAAATAAGTAATCATTTATATCTCTTCCGTGCATTCCATATGTCACATATTTTATAATTTGTATATACTGTCTCCTAACAGAATTAATAGTTATCAACGATAATTAACATTGAAAAAACTGCATACATGTCTCAAAATGAAAGTTGGCCAACTGGTCATTTAAAAACACTTAGCAGGTGCCCACTTTAGATTTAACTAACAAAAACAGGACACAGAAAACAAGTATGGAAAGATTTTTAGTACACATATAGCAGATGATTTACGGAAATAATTTTAATTTATGAGTAACTTTGAAAACAGGTATCATGCCTTTCAAAGTATATATGATTAAAAAAGCCATGACAAATATAAAATAATGTTCTTTTTCCTTTAGAAAGAATTAAGCAAAGTAAAATAAAAAACAGCTTTAGAGTACAAGGAAGCAGCAAATATGAGAAAAAATGATTACATGGTATACGACACGTCATGCTTTCTCAAAAATAAAAACATTAAATACATTCATTTATCAAATACTTATTGAAAACCTATTATATCAGCTATTGTGCTAGGTGCTAAAACAATGATAAACAAATTAGTCTGCCTTCAAGGACAAACAACCCGTCTTGGGTTGACTAAGTGGGAATGACTGAGGGCTATTTTCAACACTACGATTCTAAGAATATTACATTTTTCTTAGATAATGACTTTTCTTGGATCATAAAAATTTCTAGGTTTAAAGTTTAATAACAGAGAATAAAACTCTCCCAACTTTTCAAAATGTAAGACTTTATAAAGAATTTTATAAGTCACGTATTAAAATGCACATTCCTGATTACATATCAACTTAGTTCAATTTCTTAGTTAACACGATCCTTCAAAAAACATTTATCAAATGCCTATAATGTGCAAAGCACTATATGCCACATTTCAGTTCAACTCCTGTGCATTTTTGTAAACAACTAAAGGAAGCTAGTTCACTAAAAAGTGAGGACATAAAATGAGTACTAAGATCCTTGGTTTAATTTAAAGACAAAACAACAGTTCTAACTCTGAATACTGATCATTGACTACAGTCAGAACAGTGTTGTTATACACAAAATATATGACCATTAAAGGGATCAAAATCCTTAAAGGGATATGAGTTTATACTGGAACGGAAAGCAAATAACTTATTAAGTGCTTAATACGCTCTTCTATTTCACAGTTTTTGCTTGGAAATATTGCATGTTAACTGTTTCCAAGAATGAAACTTGTTCCAATTTTAAACAGTCACAGTATCATGGTATGAGATTATATAAATATGAAACAATATAGTACAGTGGTGAAGAGCATAGACTCTGGAGCTAGACTGTTCAGTTCCAGGCTCCACCACTTACTAGCTCTGCGACCTGCAGTAAGTTACTTAACCTCTCTGTGCCTTAAGGTCCTCATGTGTAAAATGGGAGTAAAGATTAAAAGATTTCATGTTTTTAAAACGGTTAGTACAGTGCCTGGCATGTGAAAAGTACTATACAAGTGTTTTGCCCTTATTATTTACCAATAAGGCTCTCAACGTGTAGGTTCAATGGGTCATTTGAATGAAGAAATGTTGATGGAAATGTACGTGAAGTCAGAAGTTTTCCAGTCCCTGTAGACAACTAAAAGTAATTCAAATAAATTTTCATATATAAATATGCTACACAAAATTCTCTCAACAATTTCTTTAAAATGCCACAATAAAGGAAAATTATCTTAAAATACTAACAAACTCTACAGTGAATGCATATAATAAAATGTGTACAAGATGTTCATCAGTCACTATCAAATATGAGTACTCAACATGTTAAGTAGGTAAATGTTCTGACAGTAATTACCTCAATAGCATCATCATACATTTTTCTCGCCTCATGGTCTGTTTTATCTGACATCAACCACGCTTTTAGTAAGTATTCATAAAAACTGTCTCCCAGCCCTCCAACTGATGTATGATCTGTAACAAAAGAGAAAAGAGAAGGATGGAGATGGAGGAAGGGAAGACAGAAGACAATTAAATAATGTTTTTCAATTATAGTAACTATATTATAGGTCAATAATTTAAAAATTATATTCATAGCCCTATTGCCAACATACTCTAAATTTAATCCAGTAAGAGTAGACCATAATCACTCTCCTCTATATGTGTATCAAATTTTCTAGAAAATTTTTTTCTGTTGGATGTGATATTTCACATAGTTAGTGGTTTTTTCTTCAGTCACATAGTTTGTACACTGTCACACAACCAAACTTTTCTAGAATTGAAAATAACTATCTTTCATATATTAATGGCTGTAACTATCATAATTACAATAATTATAATGGCTATAAGATTAAATATAAGAGGTTTGCTTTAAATCTAATGTTAACCAAAACTAGCTCATTTTTTTATAGGATGGTTGATGGTGATTTCTGTGCCATAGAAAGTAAATTAAATCTACAAAGAAAAAACTCCCAAGGCGATCTTACTTTTTTATCCCTGACTTTCTATAAACCCTGCCCTACATCTTTGAACTTTGTTTCAAAACTCACTCCCTGCATGAACAGAAAAATATCACATTTTTTACAACCCTTCAATCATTCATATAGTACTATCATTGCTTTTTCAAGTTAGTGAAGAAAGGATGGACTATTTAGTGGCTTATGGAACAAATGGCTATGTGGGGGAAAACATATATTAATATTTGTATCTTTAGCTCACAAAAATAAATTTGTGGTGGGTTAATTTAATCTAAAAGTAAAACACAAAACTATAAGTACAAGAAAATGTCTCTCTTCCTAAGCAGATGATCTTCTTAAGCAAAACACAAAAATGAAGAAGCCATAAAGGAAAAGATTTATAGCGCCATATGGTACAAGCTGCCATAAATGAATAAGACAAGAAATAGAATGGGAGAAGATATTTGCAACATACATAACAGAAATAAGGGTTAATGCCCTACACAAAGAACTCTGATAACTAAATAGGAAAATTGACATAGGGCACACACAAGCAATTGACAAAAAAAGAAACACAAAACTAACAGTTAACACATAAGAGAAGAAGCTTGACTTCACTAGTGATCAGAGAAAAGCAAATTAAAATAATGAGATTCCATTTTTGTCTACTTAATTGGCAAACATTTTAAAAGACTGATAACATCCAGTGTTGATAAGGTTCACAGTTGCTGGGATTGGAAGGCAATTTTGTTGTAACCATCAAAATTTAACCTAGGTTTTCTAGTTCTGGAATTATCTTGTAACAATACTTGCACAAATACACAAATATAGATGTAAAAGAAAAAAGTTCATCCCAGCACTATTTCCATTAGTAAAAAAATAAAATAACATCAAACATCTGGGGAAGTGGCTACATAAATTACAGCATAAACAAACTATTGTGGATCATGCACTCATTAAAGAGAATCAGGTGAATCTGTAATCTGATATTGGAGGAGATCTTATTATACGCTGTTAAGAGGGGAGGAAAACAGCAAGTTTCAGAACAATGTAGTTTGATACTACTGAAAATTCATCCGTTTTAAAGAATGTTGCTGGACACATACAAAACGTATGAAAAGACAACTGTCAACAGTGATTAGCTCTAAGGAAGGAGTCCTTCAATTTTTATTTTATATGCTTATGTATTATTGGAATACAGGTAACACGTAGTTAAGTCATCTTTTGATGTAGAAAGGAATAAACGGGAGAAAAGTGCCATCATTCACTTTAAGCAATATGTCCGCTGATACACTAATAGTTCATTTGTACCTTAAATAGGCTGCATCTCAAATGCTCTTACTTCTCACTTTTTTTCTTTAATCATAAATGTGCATTTCGATGAACGTTTACATATGTATACACCCACAAAACCACCACCAGGATAAAATATAGAGCATTTCTAGCATCCCAAAAGTCTTCCCCATGTGGCCCTCACAATCAATACCCAACTCCAAAGATAACTATTTTTCTGACCTCTCTCACCACAGATTTGTTTTGCCCAGTTCGTATAAAATAGCCATTTCATATAAAATGGCAATTTACTTTTAACTATGATTTGTTAGCTTAACAATCTTCTCTTTCACTTTCCATCCAAATATCTAGAAGAAGGACACCTCTGCTTTCTGTAGAATTCCTGAATCGCTAACATTAAGTGAGTGGGTATTAGAAAAGACACTTAGAGGAATTAAGACAGTTACAATATGACCCCCTATTCTAGGCTTCAGACTGCAGAAGAAAATCACCATTAAACTTCTAACAGCTTTCAATACTCCTCATACTTACATTTAAGAACTTTAAATGATGGTAACATATGATGATGGGTTTAAAGGATAAATTACACTTAGATGCTAAATTAATTCTAACAGATTTAAACATTTTATAACTAAAAAAAAACTGTAGAAGATAAAACATACTTGTAAAATAAACAAAATGGAGTAGACATGGAAAATTCCTCATTAATGGCCATTTGGGACAGAGTAAGGATTAAGGATGCCTTTGGGGCACATTATTTGGTAATGAACAAGAAAGTAGTAATTTTATATTTGGAGAGCTACTATTTTAAAACAGCTGTATCAAAATATCCCATCAATACTGCTACTCCAGTTTTGTGGTAATGTCAAAATGTCCTGACTCATTCAGTAAATGATCCCATTACTATCCTACCAGCTGCTCAGAGCTTTTCTTAGATTTCATCAACTGCTTAAAATTACGCTGTATTTTAGTTGTCCTCATATTTTAACCATGACTTTCTTCTATAGCTTTTAGATTTCCCCTAGATTTTCTAGTTGCTCTTCTATTCTCTCTCCTCTTTTTCTTTCATCATTTTTATTGTTTCCCAGTCTCTCAGTCACTGAGTCAGCCCTGCCCCTCTTATTCTCCTGGAGACCAGCCTTCCAGTCTCTACAGTCTAAACACACCGTACGGCTATCATCCTGAGGCTTCTCTTTTCTTGCTTCCCTGAATTACACTATTTCCTCAATCCTAGGTCTTAGTTTACACAGTTTCACTGAATCATAATTCTCATATAATTTCCCAAGAAAGAGTAGGTGGGATGAAACTGTGTTGTCTGACATGTCTTTATTATGCTCTTCCTCTTAATTTCATTTCGTCTAGGTATCAAATTCAAGGTTGGAACTCATTTTCCCTCAGAGCTTCTCGAAGGTGGTGCTCCAGTGTCTTGTACCATCAAGTATGATGGTGAGAAGTCTGATGTTATTTTATAGGCTCTGTGTGTTCTCAATCCCCCTTCCTTACACTTGACTTGCCTTCCTTAGCTTTAGAATCTTCATTTCCACATTGGTTAAATTTTTTCCTACATTCACTGTCCTGGGCACTTTTCAAACTAAAGATTAGCATCTCTCCACTCTGGGAAAATCCTCTTTTGTCATTTCTTTGATTATTTTCTCCACTTCACTTGCTTGGTTCTCTCTTCTGAAGCTCTTACTAGTTGGAAATTGGACCTCGTGGATTGATTCTCTATTACTCTTTTGTCTGAATTGCTACTCTCTTAGTCTTCTTTCTCTATATACTGGGAGTTTTTTAAAAATCAACCTTATCTTTTGGTCCTTTCACTGAAGTTTTAATGTCAGCAATTATACTTTTAATCTCTGAGCTCTTTTCTTTTCTCTAATTGCTTATTTTTCATAGTATTCTATTCCTATTTTATGCATATATTATCTTCTCAGAGTGCTTTGAATAAAAGAGAGGATTAACAATGTTTATTTATAGAACTGCCTCAGTTTCCCCTGGGATTCCCTTTTTGACTTCAAATAGTTTTTACTGTGAAATTTAACATGCATATAAAACGTACATAACACATAAATAGAATGTTCATTATAGAGAACACGTGCATTATCTCTGCTCAATAATGCCAATACCCCAAAAGCAATCATGCATCCCTTATCAATCACAATTCCCACCCCCCAAAAGGTAACCAACTTCTTGATTTTTGGGGGGTTATCACTTTGATTTTTTTATATGGTCATCATCTAATACCTTCTCTCAACTCTTTTGGTATGCTTAACAAACAGCACCATTTATTCTCTTGTGTCTGGCTTCTACAGCTCAACACTTTGTGAGATTCAACCATGTTGTTGTATATAGCTGTATATCTGTATATAGCAGTATATCATTTACATGCATTGCTGTATGATATTCCATTGTGTCAATCAGCCATTATCTACTTCACTATGTTTAGGAGTGAAGTTCTTCTGTTTCCTCCACTGAACAGCAGGTATTCCTCCACTGAGTAGACCTATTTGTCACTAGGTCTCTCTCCTGAGTGGGAATTCTGACTGGATGCTTTCTTTTTGTTCTTTTGAGGAATATTAGCCCTGAGCTAACATCTGCCACCAATCTTCTTTTTGCTGAGGAAGACTGGCCCTGAGCTAACATCCATGCCCATCTTCCTCTGTTTTATATGTGTGACACCTACCACAGCATGGTTTGCCAAGCGGTGCCATGTCTGCACCCAGGATCGAACCGATGAACACAGGGTTTCGCCAGTTCGGATCCTAGGCACGGACATGGCACCGCTCGTCAGGCTACGTTGAGACGGCGTCCCACACGCCGCAACTAGACGGACCCACAACTAAAATATACAACTATATACTGGGGGGTTTTGAGGAGAAAAAAAGCAGGAAAAAAAAAAAGGATTGGCAATGGTTGTTAGCTCAGGTGCCAATCTTTAGGGAAAAAAAGTGTGCTAAGAGAAAAAGTAAATATATAAATTTAGCCGCCCCTGACATAGGAAGGGTTAATAATCACTGGAAAAAGCTTGCCAACAAACTGTGACCCGGAGGTGAGAAGGCCGGTTAGCCAATGAGGGGTAAGACCTCCAGGGGGAGGCAACCTAAGACAGGCATCGGCCGCCCGGGGGCACAGACGGAGACACGATATCGGGAGCAGGAGGTGTTGCCTAGGAGGCCTTGCATGCTCCGAGAGAAAGTATACGAGCACAGCAATAACATGATAATA